ATATGATCCTATTTTATCATAAAAACATAAGAAGTTCTATTTTTTAATTTTTGCCATAGTTTTACTCCTATTTGGGGTAATTTATAAATATCTGACAATATTAAATAGGATACGCATCTATAATAAAAACTAGACATCATCTATATGAACTAAAAAGTGGCATTACATAGTTTTTTAAAATAAACTTGCAGTACATATCTAAGAACGAACAACGTAAAAGTGTAAAACTTAGTAAATCTCAAATGTAAGCACAGTCAAGAAATAACTAAATGAATAGACTAGGCTTCATGTAGTAAAAGCCATTGTTTATAAAAAAAAAACGTAAAACAAAGGAAATTGGATGCACTTGAATGATTTTTTTTGAAAGCAATGCAATCACATTAACTAATACTCCGTATTAATAAGGTCATGGTCCAAAGATATAACGGTACAAGGAGGAGGATACACTTGAATGAATAGACTATGCTTCATGAATTTGTCTAAGACACAAGAGCATCAAAAGCATTCATAGTACATGAGATATAATATATATAATTATATACTCCGTACCAATTATCCACCCCTAGTGCTAATAGAAAAGTGTCTCTAATTAAATTGAGAGATGCGTGACTCTAAAATACTTGTAGGTTTGAGATTGTACATCTCAAATTACTCTTAAATGTTGCCTTTGTCCAATTTATTGTAGATGGCCAATATTAATAAATCAGAAACTAGAAAAAATAAAGCAAGACTAGAAACCACAATTCGATCATAGGTCATGAATTGGATCGACTTTGAGTCAATCATTGCATCTGGCCATGCAGGAGCGAGCAGTATGTCTCCTAATTTTTACCAAAAAAAAATGTCTCGCTAATACGCATACGGGCACATGTAACTTGTAAGCCATGTATAATCGATCCAGAATTCTTGCAAACTCCATCATCAACATCATCATATAATCATATATCTCAGTGTCGCAAAGACTCCCATCTACGATGGGGTAAGGGGGATCGGATGTACGGAGTTTTACTCCTGTACTAAAACACAGAGAGACTGTTTCCGAATGAACAAATTTGTAAAATAAGTAGCAATGAGTCATTGATGTGTAGCCATGCCGCGCCCTCGATTGATTCATCTTGATGAACAAATTTGTCTATACTGTATGAACATCAATGACGTTATTCTTGACTTTTCTAACTTCCAACCTGCTATCAACCCTCTGCGTTGTGGTGGTGGTGGTAGTTCGGTATGGGGTGTATTCACGGTGACACCATAACGACCCCGAAAAATATTCATCATTATTATTACAATTTCTGTTATTGTTTATACTTTAAAATAGTCAGGATTTCAGTTTAGAGCTAGAATCATGTCAGACGCTACATATTGTACTAAAACATTTTTTGGTAATTGTTTGAAATAAAATACTACTTCCTCCGTCCCCCTAAGTTTGGGACAAAAGAAGGTGACACGGTTACTAATAAAAGTGGGTTTATGTGGTTGATATTAAATTGATAAAGTAAGAATAAAGTAAGAATGATTTAGAACAACATAAATTTTACTCCCTCCGTCCCTGATTGTTCTTCCAAATTAAAGTGGCACGGTGATTAAGAAAGTGAGAATTGTGTGGTGGAGAGTTGTGCAGAGGAGAGAGAAATGCTGTGAACCACAAATTCTTTGCCAAAAAGGGAAAGTGAAGTTCTTTTTTGGACGGACGAAAAGGGAAAGTTGGAAGTAAATTTAGGGACAGAGGGAGTACCAAATAAGGTATGAGACAATCTTAGTGGGACAGACTGAAAAGTAAAATTGGACAATCATAGCGGGACGGAGGGAGTACTGTTCTAGAAAAATGAAGTATAATTCAAGTTTGTTATTTTATCCTTCAATACAACTTTATTAATACTATGTAATATATGAAGTAATTTTACATATCTAACTTTTATCATATTGCAATACAAAAATCATATGATTTGTCGTGGTCTGACACTAATTTATCGCGGACAATTTTTTTTATGTATGAATTTTTATTCAAAATAAAAAAAATCAATTTTTCATTCCACATATTAGAAACCTTGAATTCTTATTAAGTTCATCAATTGAATTTATTAAGATAATATGATTAAATAAGTAAAGTTGATAAAACTTTATGAGAGTTGAGTTCTTTCTTACAAGAATGTGAAAAAGAGAAACAAATTGCGTTGAAAAAATTTGCACCGTTGGATAGTTCTAAATCACCCGTGCTGAACAGCTACGACAACAAATAGTGAAATATTCTTCGCGGTCTTGGACGTACGGGAATGAGGCCCCCATATGTTAATTGGCCCACAGATTAAACTGAACTTCAATCCCGCCATCATCATTCGTGATGGGCCCAGCCACCCAAACCCAAAAAGAATGATCGAAGTAAAAGGCAGTGGGAAGACTTCAAAGCACTCATTGGTAAACTGCGTGATCCTACTTTTCTTTAGGGGAACATAAGTGGTTAGCATGCTGTAAACACATTGATTAACAAACAAATCCATGAGGAAAGAGTCTTTATTCTCCCCAATTTCAAATTTTCAACTATGCAGTGTAAGGTCACTTTTTAATCAATATATGGAGGAAAGTGATTAGTTGTGGAATTGTATTATTTCAATAATATACTACCGAACTGTTTATTTTTTTCTATAGATTAAGATGTATGCTCGATTGAGTGATATTTGTTTATAAAGTTTTTTATTTTGTATTCAAATTCAACGGACTTAATTGAGTAAAATAATGAATTTATTATAATTATTGCATTAAGAATCCTATTTGTTAACAACTTAACACACATCTACTTCATAATCGATTTAAAAGAAATTGGCTTAATACAGTATATGTTTTAATATGCGTCTTAATGGAAATGACCTCTATGTTAAAATTTAATAATCAAGTCTTTTTTTATTGAATGAATTAGTCGTGCTTCCTATCGTAAATATATATGACTGAATGATTAAGTCATTATTCTCATTAAGTCAATTAAGTCATTAATAAAAAGGCCATACAAGCATCTCTTTTAAAAGAATCACATTTTTCCTATCTCAAATTAAGGTTTTCACCAAATTTTTTGGAGTCCATGTGATAAGTTTTCCTTTTTAAAAAAAACTAAGGTACTGAATAATATTGTATCACTATTTTTAAATAAACACATCAACTGTTCAGCCAAATAACTATTCAGCCTATTTTCGGGTGTATAACTATTCAGCCAAAAAACTATTCTCAACACCAACTATGTACATTAATTGGTTAAATTTATTAATCTCTTTGTTTTTATGTTTTATATATGGTAGATTCTATGGTACCCATAATGTACCATACCTTTGTTCACATGTATCAATGAGAATGTAACAGTTGAATTATTTAAATTTAAATTAAAAATGATAAAGTGGTGTGGTCCAATAAAATCAATGATAGATACGATACCCCATATTTTAGAAAGGTACCGGAGTTGTCACCTTTATATATACTTACATTACTTTATTCAGCTACTTTGCATAAAAATATGTTTTATTTGAACAATCGAAATAAATAAGAACATAGCATCCCCATCGGACCTTGCTGGTGTGGCATTTTTTCCTTTTTCTTTTTAGTTTCTTTCCTCTCCTTTTTCAATCTTTTCATTTCCTTTATCTTTAGGGCCGATCAGTGTCCTACTTTAATTTTCTTTTCTCCCTTTTCTCTTCTTTTGAGCATGTGCCATAGCTTTTCCTATGGACGAATAGTATAAGAATTACAACACGTAAAACTTAAAAATAAAACATGATGGCGTCTATCTGTCCAATTTGTGCGACGATCAGCAAATAAAGTTGCTCATGCTTTAGCTAGACAAGGTATTTCTGAGTCTGATTGTTCTTGATTTGAGATTCCACATTTTGTATTCGAGACATCCTATTGAGGGATAATTATTAATGAAAAATTCTGTTGTTTTTCAAAAAAATAAAAAAATAAATAAAACATAGTACACCGTATAAATTAATTAAGAAATAAGTGAGTGTTACCATGCCTCACAAATAAATGAGAGTACAATACGTACGACTTACAATACATTTAATTAATTTAAATCATTCTCTCATCGTTCATTAGTATTTAAATTTATTCGATGACAATATTCTAATTGATCCGCATAGGCAAGATGTTGCACGTTAAGAATATTGTAGAATTTGCCTAAGAAATAAGGTGAGAACTCCGGTACCCATTTAAAAAATGGGATACTGTACCTACCACTCACTTGATTGGTCCAAATAGGTATATCATTTTTTAATTTGGACTTAAATAATTCAACTGCAACATTCTGATTGGTCTATGTGGACAAATGTATGGTACCTTATGAGTACCATAGAATCTACCAAGAAATAAACCTATAATTTAAATTCTCAAAATATAAGTCAATGTTCCCTAAAGACCGTCAATATATATAGGAAAAACTGTCAAATAGGTCCTCGAACTTTCATAAAAAGGTCAATTAAGTCCTTCTATAGGAGGTTCTGTCCGGCCGTCGTGATTTGGGGCAGTTCCTGGTGGAATTTTTTGATGAAATTTTTTTAGCATCTTATTCACCAAGTCTAGTTTACTCATACCAAATTTCAGCTAAAATTTCAATCGGGAACACATTCAAATTAATTCTTGAAGATAACTGCGCATTTTTGCGTTCTCGAATTAATTTGAATGCGCTCCCGATTAAGTTTTTAGTTGAAATTTGGTATGAGTAAACTAGGCTTGCTGAATAAGATGCTCAAAAAATTTCATCAAAAAATTCCACCGGGAACCGCCCCAAATCGCGACAACCGGACAAAGTCTCCTATAGAAGGACTTAATTGACTTTTTTATAAAAGTTCGAGGACCTATTTGACAGTTTTCCCATATATATATGATTCAGTCTAGTAGGGAACTAGCTCGTTCTAATTTTCGAGTGCATAACATTGACTTTTGATTAGTATAGATTTAAATGTATATTAATTAATAGTCAAATTAATGCATTGGGAAATTAAAGGTGAAAATGAAAATGGTGCAAGTAATTAAAATAGAACAATAGAAACAAACATTGTATTATAAATACATAGTCTAGCTATTTGAAGTAAACCAGCCAACTGTGAACTAATTAAGAAGAACAAGCTAATTATCAAGTACAGAAACTTGAGAATCATATTGAAGCTCCGATTATTAGAGACCAGACTAGACTAGACAGATTAACAATTTATTTTTGGAAAAGTCGGAATTAAATTTGTAAGCGGCAATTATATATTTAGGGAGTATGAGAGTCGATGTTCTTGCGAATGGCGTCCTTAGACTCATCGGCCTTATTGGCGACATTGTCTTTGATCTTGTGGGTTGTGTCTTTCACCGCATCCCAAGCGTCTTGTGCCGTTTGTTTTGCCTTTCCCGCTAACTCATTTGCAGCCTCCGACACCTTCTCTCCCATGGCTTTTGCTTTTTGCACACCCTGCATGCCAAGCGTACGTTATGGGAAAAATATTACTCCCTAGAATAATACTCCTTCCATCCCGGAAACAAAATTTTCGGGTTGACTTTCACACATTTTAAGGAAATAAAGTTACCGATAGGTAAATTTTACCGTTTTGGCACTGTTTCGACAATGTTTTGCATTGTTTTGATGTAGATAATTTGTCAAATAACGAAGTGGGAAGTTTATTTTGAGACATCCAAATAAGGAAAGTGAGAACTTGTTTCCCTGACGGAGGGAGTATACTTTTTTTTACAGATCCTTTTAACTATTATAATATATATATATATATATATATATATATATATATATATATATATATATATATATATATATATATATATACATATTTTGGTTCAGGTGATAAATGCATCTAATGTGATAAATGAGAATAAATCTCAGCCGTTGGATTTACGAAGTTGCACTAAAATTGGCTTTATGTTGCAGTAGTATTTAAATTTTGCACATGTTGCACTAAAACTGTTTCATGTTGCACTAATATTTGACGGCGTTGCACCGAAATAGCTTCATGTTGCACTAGACACGTGTAATACGGATTTTTCAGAAGTATTTACAGAAATGCCACCGTGCTAGATTGCATATTTCAGTGCATCATGAAGTGTCTTTTACTGCAACTTAGTCGAATCCAATGGCTGAGATTCATTCTCATTTCTCACCCAAAGGGTTCTTCTCACTTGAACCTTACCATATATGTGTGTGTGTGTTCTATTAAGATTAACATTCTTGAACTGAGATGAGATTCTAAGTAATCGTGAAATAAAGACTTTAATTTTTACATTTAGGGTGAGACGATGACTATTATATATAGCCCCTTTAATTACGCTACTGTCGACCTATATATGTTGCACGTCCCTCCATTGAAATCTTATTTGTTAACATATCTGATACTACCTCCGTCCCGAATTGATTTGCAAATTTGACTTTTCTGGGTCAAACAGTTGCGTTTTGTTCACTTAATTAGGATGCCAATTTTTAATTATATTCTAATTTGGAGTTTACAACTTTGAAGAGATTTTGATGTAGTTTATGAATATGTAAATTTTATTTATTAAAAAATAAATTAATTATGCATAAGAAGGGTTGACTTTTATTATTAGTTGACCAAAAAATGTTGACTTTGCAAAACAAATTGGGACGGAGGGAGTATAAGGGAATATGACCACAAAGCGTCTTTATTAACTAGGGGTGAAAGAGACTCAAATTGGAAAACTTTAATGGTTAAGATGTTAAGATCGATTTCAATTTCATCCTAAATAGTCAAATTTTATAATTGTGCCATCATTTTTATATAGACATATAAAAATGAATTAGGAGAAGAAAATTATAATTATAATGAAGTTAATACACCATATTTATACCCAAGGTCTCAATAAATTCACATAAAAGTACTTATAAAAAACGTAACATGAAAACATATCATTAAAAAATTGGTTATCATAACGATAATGTCACTGAAAGCACCAAAAGAAAATTATCGAAATAGAAGTGAAAACGTTTCAGAATTTCAAATTCAAAATAGTACTGACATACTTTTATGAAGTATTTTGACTTTGCATCCCATTTTTTGTGCAAATTGGACTTTGCACCTCATTTTTAAAAAACTTTGTTTTTACACCCCAACTCCATATGAAAAACAAAATTGTCCCTTCATTAACAAATTTGTTGGTCTTCAACAAATTCATGATCGATGACATTTTTGTCTTTTCATACAGGGTTGGAGTGCAAAAACAAAGAGTTTTAAAAATAGGGTGCAAAGTCCAATTTGGACGATAAAATAGGGTGCAAACTCAAATTACCCCTATTTTTATTCTCTAAATAGGACTAATTACTATCAAGTTTGAAAAATATTATCATGTTTCAAGTCTAGTACTGCAAAAACATGGCAGGATTATTCTTATTTAGGTAATAAAAACATGAAGGTCTTATTTTGAAATAGTTTTTAGTTGTATTTAGGGCAATTCCTCAAACACCAATTGTCTCATTGTACAAATCATTTTGATCCATCATTTTTATGTAAGTCATATACAAATCATTATTTCAAAATAAGAAGTATACATTTATTTAATAAAAAACTCATGCAAGTATCTCACATTTTGGGTGAGAGTTATAAACCTATCTTCCAAATAATACATCTTACGTGACACCATTTTACTATTTATAGTTTTCAAATGGACATGCATTTCAAAATTCAAATGGACATGCATTTCAAATTTTACAAATTAAATGGACATGCATTTCAAATTTGAGAGGCGTGTGTTCTTTTACATTTTTTAAAGTTGTAATTACGAATAACTTTATGTGGTACAATGATACTATAATCTGAGAGTTACTTACATCATCTGCGGCGGAGGAAGCGTCGTGTTTGATTTGCTGTGCGGCTTTGCTGGTGGCATCGGCGCCTTGTTTGGCGGCGTCGGCTCCTTTCGCGGCGGCAGACTTGGCTTCGTTGTAAGCGCCGGGTCTGCTTCCGTAACGTTTATTAGGAGTAAAAGAAAGGAATGATGGCCGTCTGGTGGTGCCAACTACCCTCATTGTGCCTCTGCACATTTGCAGTTTCGTCAAACTTGCCGTTAAACTCATGCTCGCCATCTGATTAATTATTAATGATCCTTCTAATGATCTTATTAGTGTTAATTGCTTTTGATTAATGCATGGAAGAGGGAATATATATAAGTAGCAGTTATAATGGCGGAAGGGTAACTGTTTTTTCTCCAATTGGTGGTTGAGAAATTTGGTTAAACTAGTTTTTAATTAGTAGTAATTAGGCAGAGGCGAGGCACGACTTGAGGGTAGATTAGTTCGTCAATTTGGCATGTTTATAGCTTTATTAGTGAAGGAAAAAAGTTCTTTCGTAAGTTTGGATTGGCGCTTTTCTAACCCCTCATTTCCAACTAATATGAATTCAAATTGGTCTCAACTTTCTCCTTGAATGTTTTTTTAATGGGCCTTGAATGTTTCATTTACTTAAAATAAGTAAATAAATAACATAGTCTTGATTGCTTCAATCTGAAATTTTCTACTCCGTATATTCTATTTACTCATACTTAAGCAGAGCCCTACTCGCTACGCTAATATGCTATGTAAAAATGACGCAGAGCTACGCTCGATATGTATCGATTTGTGATTTATGTTCAATTTATATTCTTCTAGTTAACTATCTCGTCACTGCTAGATCTCTAGAGATGAAGTGTCATCCTTTTTTTACTCAAACATGTTTTATGCATATAGTAGGGATGGGGAATAAAAAATGTACAACTTTTCACTTTTGGGTATTCTAAAACAAGACAATTATTTTTATAAATTTTATTTAAGTAACTCTTTAAAATGTCACTCTAAGAACATGTTTGATATCGATGGAATTATTGTTGAATGTTTTGAATCGGCTGAATTGTGAAAAAGTACATTTAAAGCATATTTGTACTTCATTGTTTAGATAAGGAAAAAAATTATATGTTCAAACAAATGTCAATTTAGCGATAAAATTAACATTTGTCATACGTATTCTAATTATTAAAGAATTCAATTAGAAAAAGTCAAAAAATAAGTGTGATAAAAAAATTGACCGATGCGAATGATAAGGCAGAAATAGAGGCGGGCAAACGTGGCCAAAATATTACTAAAATATACTCCTTAAGAATCGTAACCTTCTTGGTTTCTTCCATTCTATGACATCACATTGTCGCGTAGGTAGTTGAGTTGAGAATGACTTTCAATACTCGCACGGATAGCTGAATTGACTTAATGGTGGGAAAGTTGGAGAAATGACCAATGATCAAAACTTATAGTGGTCATGTGGAGGTTACATTTCATTGATGGGTTGAATCTGGGATGTGCACGGGTATCAGATCTATCATGTTGGGCCGACTGAGTAATCGTTATTTACAACCTCCCATATGTACAATTGGATGGGGCATGACAGCCATAGGAGCTTGGGGTCGGGGATTCCTTGTTTACAAAATAAAGCCTAACATCAATCTTGTTAGTCTCGAACATGTTTGCTCTTGTCCATGAGACCTAATATAGTTGTACTTGTTTGTTTATTTAGAGAATGAAAAAAAATGTCAAATAAGCTCTTGTACAATATCAAAAAAGTCATTTAGATCATTGTACTTTGAAAACACTCAATTGAGCCCTCAAACTTTATAAAAACCCTTCAATTGAGCGACTTGCAGGTAACCAGGTGATTTCTCGATAAACCGGAAGATATATTTTAGATTTGGTCTAGATGTAGTTATTTTAATGTGTCTAATAAATAATGATATTATTAGACAATTTTTGGTTTTACATAATTAATTCATATTTAGTAATGATATGAATTTTTAGTTGATATTTAGTGGGCATAAACTAGATTTAATGGAAAACTTTCATCAAAAAAATTCATCAAAAAGTTTCACTGAAAAGGGTTCTAAATGGCCTTGGCCGGACAACAGGTCCTTTTAGGCCGACCTGATATGAAGTATATTTAAATAATTATATAAAATGACAACTTTAAAATAACTATTGAAAGAGATTTATAATTAATAAAAAATTATTTCTTTTCCATATTAGTAAAACATAGCGTCGAAATTGGATGAGTGGTACAAAAATTAAAGTATTGAAACTAACAAATAGGAATTTCTATGTATGCTTCTTTTCTTTTCTTCTCTCTTTCTTTGGTTTAATTTGAAGTATTCACATAGTCATTCATCATCAAGCATATTGATAATTGATACCTCTCTTCTAAAAATCGTTCTCGGCGCCCGACTAGTCCCTACCTAGGCGTTAGGCGGTGGCCGGGCGCCCCGATTTTCGTCTAGGCGCTCCAACTAATTGGTTTGCCGTCTAGGTGAATTAGTCGGCCGCCTATGGCGCCTAGTTGCCCGCCTAGAGCGCCTAATCAGCCGCCTAGGTCGTCTAGATTCGCCGAACATTACTTTACTTTTTAATTTTAATTTTTTTTTAGTGATATACATACTTTAACTTTAGTCATGGATATGAAGAAATGAAGTTGTAAATTAAGATAAAACTATACATGTTTGTATATATACCTAAATTTTATCATTATTTATATTTATAACATAATGAAGTTAAATGATTAGTTATCATATACTACGTATGATTGAATGTGATAATTCTATCTTTCAATATGTATTTTATACACACAAAAATACAATATTACTTATCATATTTGTGCAAAAATGGAGATAAAAAATGCAATTTCTTTGTCTCCGACTAGTCCCCGACAAGGCGCCCGCCTAGCCGCCTAGGCGCTAGGCGCTGGGCTGGCGCCCGCCTAGCGCCTAGCGCCTTTTAGAACATTAATTGATACTATCATCACTCATAATATCATAGCACTCGGTATGATTCTATGGTGGCTGTACATCACTTCTATTTCGAAATATAGCATAATGTTGAAGGAAATTCTATGTAGTGTGCTATCGTTGATATAGAATATGTATTAGGGTCATTTCTATGTAAGCTATGTAATCTGGGCCTATTGGCCCGTACTTGTAAACCCTACTCTATCCTTATTTATAAGAGCATTCGCTAATGAAACTCTACGAATAATTCTCCCTACAACAGGTTATCTGCACGAAAGCTCTGTTTTTTCGAATCTCTCTTTTCTTACTGGCCGACACCTTATGCGTAGGTTGCTCAGCCGCTACCACCAGAAAGAGGCCATCGCCGGATTCCTTTACTCCCCTTGAAACTACCCGCACCCATCAAACAAGACCCCAGCGCTGGTGTTCTACCAACGCCTACTGTCATCACCTTCGGCCGAACTCTGCAAACCGCTTGCAACCTGTTCGCCGCTGTTCACGGTGGGGTCGCGCTCTGCCTACCTTTTCTTCGGGGTAAGGCCATTGTCTTTATTGCCATTCCGGAATCTCCCTATTGCTTATCGCCATCTGGATTGACCACGGCCGCCGGATGCCCGGATCTGCTGCTGAAGATTGGATGCAGCCATAGGGTTGGCCGGCGGCGGGTCTGATGACCTGTTGAAGTATTTATCCCACACCGGAAAGCTTCAAAACAATAAAACATTATATAAGACTTTGGGTTACTCCTCCTATCAGGTTGACCTTTTAGGATGGAACCCCAGGTCTTAAAATGGTATCAGAGCCAAGTCCGGTTGTGGTTTGAAAACTTGTTTAGCACCCATGATTAAGGGTAGCTTGTTAAGGTCTGTTTGGCCCATTTATACACCCCGATATTGGTCAGTCCGGTTCGGGCTGAGGGGGCGTGTTGAAGTATTTATCCCACACCGGAAAGCTTCAAAACAATAAAACATTATATAAGACTTTGGGTTACTCCTCCTATCAGGTTGACCTTTTAGGATGGAACCTCAGGTCTTAAAATGACCGAAATCAGATCGTTGTCCCTTAGTGAGGACTACATCAGCTATCAGGATGATTCATGACGGTGATGTACTCCTAGAAACCATCCACGCTAGGTATCCCTGCGATTGAATCTTCTAGGTAAGTATTCATCCCTAAATTGATCAGCAACTTAACTTGAATTCTTGTCTAAAATCTGATTTTTGGAACTAAGAGGAACATCTGGTTTTTCCTTAGAAGGTGATTTGTTTTTGGCTGGAATTAAAATCTTTGTTTTTGGAGCCTCCTTTTAATTGATAATCTTTTCTTGAGGAATATCTCTGCGATTTAATTTTTTTTGAAGACATATGAAATATAGCCTTTGCATAAACACCAATATTGTATTCCCAGTCCTCAGATCAATTTAAGAGACATACTATGTATGTTTCTGTAGAAATATTTTTCATTTTTTTTCATTAATACAAGTATACACTACGTATACATTTGATCTTCTAAAATGCTACAGATAAGTATATGCACATGCTCGTTTTTTTATTGCATTTACCTTTTTTTAATCCAAAGTATAGCTAGGAATAGTTACATGACATAACTAGGCCAGTAAATTTATAAGACTGTTATATTTTACTGAAACCTACAAACCGAATGAGATTTGTGCCCATCGTATTACTCCGTATGAGTTTACACTCATAATTCATAATTGTACTACATCTAAGTTAATGCTAACACAAGTATTTAATGCCTATGTCTAATAGTAGTATGAATGGGCATCTCATTTAATGATAATGTCTCAAAGAAGTACTATTATATATTGTACTTGATTTAAAGGAACAAACATTGTACTACTCTCTCATTATTTTATCTCAAAATATATTTGAGAATTGAGACGGTTATACATCCAGATTCATTAAATCTATATCTATAAATTTTGTTCATAACAAAATGGATACAAAGGAATATCTTCATAAAAAAAGTAGAATCGACATGCACTTTTCACTGAATTTGATTTATAGGATTGATGATGATGAATTACTAAAATATTTATGTCTAAGGGCATATAATAGTATGTTCCCCGCGTCCTTGGCTTCTAAATGTACTAGAAGTAATTAAAATTTATTCAGTTTTAATTTTCCCAGTTATGCAAAAGAAAATGCATATTTGGAGAAACTAATCATAAATCCATTCAGTGAATTGTAAATCACTGTTACTCGTAATGTTTGATCCTATAATGTCACTAATAACACTTTTGGACATTGATGCCTTATATCGTTGACATAATTGACTTGGATTCTATTTTCTTCTAAAATAAAGCTAAAATGAGATTAGCCTTCAACACAATGTAATGTGTTAATCTGGGTAGTGCTAAAAAAATGTAGTATATATAA